AAGCCTGGAAGACTTGTAATTAGTTTCGCTCACTAAATATTGAGTTCTGTATGCCACACATTGTGCCAGAAACTACATCGTGTGGTAGGAAAACATGGTAAAAAATGGTCCTTGTAATATGAAAGGAAAAACATAGTATGTGATAAATGCTATGTTGGGGGAAATAGAGCTTCCTTATGCTAGAGCGGGGAGGCTGTGTTAGCTTGGACTGTCATAATTCTGGGGGGCTAGAATTCCAAGATCAAGTTGCAGTCCAGGCCCAGCTGGGTATGGCTCAGTGGTTGAGCATCGACCTAGGATCCAGGAGATCGGGGTTCGATTCCCTGTCAGGGCACATGCCGGGGTTGTGGGCTAGGCAGCCAATCAATGACTCATCATTGATGTTTCTCTCTCTCTCCCTCTCCTCTCTCTGAAATCAATCAAGATATGTTAAAAAAAAAAATGTTGCAGTGCAGGGTTGGTTTCCGGCGATCATTCTTCAGGTTCGTAGGCAGTGATGAGTATGGAGGGAGCTCTGGGGTCTCTTCCTTGTAAGGATACTAATCCTATCATATTAGGGCTCCACTCTTGGAACCTCATTGAACCCCTTTTCCCCTCATTTCATCTTAATGACCTCTTTTAAAGGCCCTATCTCCAAATACAGATTGGGGGTTAGGGATTAGACAAGCATTTGGGAGTGGGGGGGGGGGAAGGATGACACGATTCAGCCCACTACAGAGGCCTAACCTAGAACAGGGCAGGAGACCGCTCTGGGGAAAGGATGGTGAAATAGATGAACAGGCATCCGTGTGAAGCAGCTCCTGAGGCTGAAGCAGCGTGCCGGCTCCAAGCTGCTGCTGACGTCCTCAGTAAGCCCTGAGACGAGGTAGGGCCTGTGTCCTGGGGGAGAGGACACTCGCGACCTGCGCTGAGTTCTGATGTGGTTCACACACTGCATCCACCGAAAAGGGAAGTATACAATTTTTTCAATGAAAATCATCTCACATTCAAATAAGTCTTAACATTTTTCCAGGCTGCTGGGCTAACTGTAAATGTGAATGAAAAAAAAATAAAGATGCTGTGGGCAGAGTGAGCGAGCTACTTCCAGAACTCCTCCCTGACCCCACACCTGCTTGCAGCGACCGGCTTGTTTTCCGTCTTTCCTGGCGCTGCCCCTTTACACTCGTCGCCGTTTTTTTCCCGTCGGCGAGAGAACGGTGCTGTTTGCCTCTGGAAAGGGCTGTTCACAAAAATTGCCTTCGTGTCTGTTTCTTCGTCTGATGCAAACAAATAAATGCCAAGGGAGCCAAAGGGTGGGCATCGGCTTGGATAAAATAAAAATAAATAATATAACGAGGGATTAGGTTCTGGGAGTTAAAACCATCTGGGGAAACGAAAAGGCGCTGATTCCGGGTCTGGTGCAGGACAGGTGCAGAGCAAGCTCGGGTTAGTCACAGGAAGCTCTCGGGCCCCCCGGGCACAGGGCACAGAGATGGGGGGCCGGCCTGAAGGGACCCCGCAGGTCCAGTTTGAGACAGGTAGAGCCTCAACAAGAATCAACAGTGGTAATGGAACAGTAATATTGAATTTAAAAATAATAATAAATCAATAATTAAAAAAAACTCACCTTGGCTCCACGGTGAAACAACAGTGAAGGTGTGGTAAGCAAGCCAGCGAACACACGCAGAAGCCACGATGGAGGAAAGGGCCCCCTGAGCCCGGCTGCTGTGGCCCAGGGGCTGGGTGAAGTCCTGTGCCCCAGACGGACGCCACCCGCTCTTTCGGGGCTGGGGCTCGCGCCCAGGTTGGGGGCTCCACCCCAGGTCGGGGTGGGGGGTAGGCGGCGGGTCAGTGTCTCACATGGGTGTTTCTCTCCCTTCTCTTTCTAGAAATCAATTAGAAATCTTAAAAAAAAAAAAAAAAGGCAATTGTAGCCGAGGGAGGGGCCGCGCAGGACCGCGCGGGCCGGGTGGCGGCGGGACACTCGCAGGCCGAGGGCCCGCAGGCCACCGGGCGCCGGGAAACGGGCGGTTAGACCCGGAGCCAGCCGCCGCCTTCAGCCCGGGGATTCCGCGTCGCTGACAGGATCTAAGGCGTGTGTCCTCCGTGAGACGCATCTCCTGACGAGAACACTTAAACGGGTTCTAATCGTAAAGGGGAAAAAATCGGACAAATCCAGGAGGAGGGCGGTCTGCACGACGAGCGGCTGAGGCTCCTGACACAACCGCTTAATTTAAAAAGGAGAGTAGGGGAGGCTGTTGTAGATTAAAAGAGACAATAGCCAATTAGAGTCATGAGTTGGAAAATAGAGAGCGGCTGTTAAAGGAATTTGGGGGACAACTGGGGAAATTTGAATAATGAACCGTATGCGAGACGTTTTGAAATGATTCATTTTCTTAGGTTGGATCATTTATTGTGGTTATGGAGGCAAAATATCCTCATGATGAAGAGATTCATGCGGACGTTTGGGGGTGAAGTATCTGCAACTTCCTTTCAAATGCTTCAGCAAAAGTCGTGTGTGAGGCTGCGCAGGTAGGTAGCGCGGGAGAAAGCAAATGGGTCCGAATGTTAACAGCTCCTACGCGAACGCTCACTGTGCTAGTCTTTAAACCTTTCTTTAAATATAAACTATTTTTTAGACGCTTATGTGGGGTGGTGACGCCGGTCAGGGGCGGCCCGGAGCAAGCGCGCCCGGCGGCAGTTACTACGGCAGCGCCGTTTGAAAGAGACCGGAAAACGCCTCACAGCGACAGCCCCCGCCCGCCCCAGGGCCCTCCCGATAGGCGGTTCCAGTCACGTGACGGGCTGACCCCGCCCACAGCTCCCAGAAGCCTGCGCGCGCCGCCGGCTGTCCCGCAGCTTCCCTCCGCCCGGCCGGGTGCGGCCATGGAGGGCGAGCCTCCTCCGGTGGAGGAGCGGCGGCGGCTGCAGGAGGAGCTGACCGAGTTCGCCGAGAGCTGCTGTCGGAAGCTGGAGGAGGTGACGTCGACCCTGGGCTGGAGCCTGGATCGTCTGGACCCCGAGGAGGAGGAGGAGGTGGCCGAGGTGAGGGGTGCGGGGAGCCCTTGGGGGCCCTGAGCATGCGGTCGCGGGCGGTGGAGGAGTCCACGCTGGGGGCCCCCGCCGTGCGCGGAGCCTGGGGGGCTCCCAGGACTCGGCTCGCAGTGCCCCTGACGCCCCCCGTTGTGGCGCACCTCCCGGGGAACTTCGGGTTTAAGGAAAACGTGAGAGTGCTCGGGGTGAGGAGGGCCGGGCAGCGCTGGGGTGTGTTTAGAAAACCAGTGCCGGGGGCTCTGCTAGCACGGCGGCGGCGGTTTGCTTTGTCATCTGTCACATGGAACCCGCGGTTGTACCAGAGGCCGTGTGTGGAGGGCTTGGGAGTTCAGTTCGCCTTTCTCGACCCAAAATTGTACGCTTCTGACCAGGGCAGCACCGATTCTAGAGTTACGAAAGGGTATCGCTAAGAGATGGTGGCGAGCAACGCTGCTGAACGTTAGAGCTGTCCTGCAGAAATGTAGGCAAATGGATTAGAGTGACCCGCTGTGATTTTTTTTAAAAAGGCGTGGCAGGAAGGAGAGTGTTCAGGTGGTGGTGGGTAGGGGGCGAGGTCTTACGGGTCCTGTTCAGCCATTTTAAAGAATCTATATGTACTTATTTTTTAATGAGAGCCATGGGGGAGACATGGAAGCATTTTAAGTCAGGGCATATCGTAATTAATGTCTACTTTTTAATAACATAATGATTGCTTCCATTTTTTGAACGCTTGCTGTGTCCCAGGCCCTGTTTGAATTGCTGTATGTATATAAACTCCAGTATAACTTATTTAATCTTCACAATAGCTTTGTGAGAGAGGTCCTGCTACTATACCTATTTTACAGATGAGGAAACTGAAGCAAAGAAAGGTTAAGAATTTTGACTAACTTAATACAGTCAGTAAGTTGCAGACCTGGGGTTCAAACTCTGCTGCAGTGTGGAGAATGGAATGGACAGTGAGACTAAGCGGAGAGGGGTTTGGGGAGGTAGAAGAAGGTTTAGGGGGTATAAGTGGTGATGGAAAGAGACTTGACTTGTGGTGGTGAACGCACAATACAGTGTACAGATGATGTATTATAGAATTGTACACTTGAAACCTATATGAGTTAAAAAAAGCTTTTTATTTATTGATTGATTTGAGAGAGAGGGGAAGAGAGAGAGAAACATCTATTTATTGTTCCACTTATTTGTGCATTCATTGCTCTATTCTTGTATGTGCCCTGACCAGGGATAGAACCCACAGCCTTGGCATATCAGGACAATGCGCTATCCAACTGAGCTGCCTGGCCAGGGCCCTGAAACCTATATAACTTTATTAACCAATGTCACCCCAATAAATTCAATTAAAAAAAGTAAAAAAAAAAGGAAGTGGCAGTTAGTCAATGGCTGTTGTAATCCATGATATCTTGAACTGGGGAAGTGGTAGTGGGGATGGATTATGTGGAGGGATTTCAGAGTTATTTAGGAGTAAAAAGTATAGGTAGGTGATTCATTAGATGTGAATGATGTGGGAAAAGAGGCAGGTATCTGCTTGAGCAAGTAGGACCTTTTACTGAAATAAGAAAACACAAGATGAACAGATTTGGGGTCAGCAGACAATGAATATGAAGAATATATTTTTGGTCATGTTGAAATTTTAGTGTCTTCAGTGTAAAGTACTCAAGAGAGAAACAAGGTCTAAATTAGCTATAGATTTTGGGAGTCATCACTATATATAGTGAAAACTGAAGCCATGAGTTCTAGTAAGTATATGTCAAATGGCACAGGCCACTGGTTAGACCTACATGAGGCACCAACATTTAAAGGGGATGGGTAGTGAGTGGTACACATACACAGCGGAATATTATTCAGCAATAAAAATGAGGAAATCCTGCAGTTTGCAACAACATGAATGGACCTTGAGGGAATTATGCTGAGTTAAGTAAGTCGGAGAAAGACAGATACCCTCTGGTTTCACTTATACATGAAATCTAAAGAAACTCCAAACAAATGAATAAACAAAACAGAAACAGACCCATAGATGTAAAGGACAAGCTGATGGGAGTTGAAATAAGTAAAAGAAAATATATGCTTAACCCAGGTGTATAAGATGCCTCTGAAAAAAAAATATAGAGGAGGACAGGTCAAAGAAGGAAGTCATCTTTAGAGGAGATCAGGTAGAAGGAGCCAGAGAAACAGAAGTAGAAGGAAAAGTGTATCAGGGTGATGGAAATAGACAGTTGGATTGTGACCTTCTAAGCATTCAAATATTAAAATATATATCTTTATTGATTTCAGAGAGAGGAAGGGAGAGGGAGAGAGAGAGATAGAAACATCAATGATGAGAGAGTCATTGATCGAGCCCGCAACCGGGGCATGTGCCCTGACCGGGAATCGAACCCCGATTGCCTGGATCCTAGGTCGACGCTCAACTGCTGAGCCACGCCCGGCCGGGCAGCATTCAAATATTAATAAGGACTGTGGCATATGCTTTGACTATAGTAGCAAGAAGGTTGTTAGTGACCTACTGGTGGGCAGGTGAGGTGGTTGGTGCAGTGAACATGAACAAATCTTTCAGAGTTGGGCTTTGATGGGGTGAAGAGGGGGCAGAGGCTATATGGGGGAGGTGTACAGAATTATTTATTTATTGCCCTTACAAGAGGATATGTTTATTGATTTTACAGAGAGAGGGAGGAAGGGGGAGAGAGAGGAAGAGAGGAACATCAGATTGGTTGCCTCCTGTATGTGCCCCAACCCGGGATCGAACCTGTAACATAGGTATGTGCCCTGACTTGGAATCAAACCCATAACCTTTTGGTGTGCGGAACTGGCCACGGCTTTTTTGAAATTTTTAATATGCACATGCACTCAAACAGGGTGTTGGGAGAGGCCTGCAGAAGAGGGCATAACTAGATAGTATCACTTAATAAAGTAGTAAACATTTAGTGGTACAATTACTTAAATCTTTAAATATCGTGTTCCTTTTTCCTTTGATTCTGTTTGATTTTTATAGGATGAAGTTGTGATGTGCCCTTATGATTCCAATCATCATATGCCTAAATCGTCTTTAGCAAAGCACATGGTGTCATGTAGATTGAGGAAACTGGGCTACACCAAAGAAGAAGAGGTACCATATATTTATTATGTGTGTGTCATACAATTCATGCATAAATAAATTCACAGTATATGGAAGGTATAAGGTGAGGTTTTCTGACATAAAATAATAGTCATTTCTGGAGTAGAATGGTACTAGCCTAATTTCGCACATTATTGCAAGAGATATTTAAGTGATACTAATCTATTGTTGGTTTGTGTCAAATCTTAAAATAGTTAATCATCTGATCCTCAAGAACACTGAGTTTTTTGTTTTTCTTATTGTTTAGGATAAAATGTATAATTCTGAATTTTTCTATGAGAATATGAAGATACCTTCAGTCACTTTGAGTAAGTATTAACTTAATAGATAATAATTTTAAAATGTCTTACTATATATATGTATTGATAATTCATTTTTGAATATTCAAGAGAATGGACTTTATAAGTATGCTTATGATTAAGGACATTTTGTACCTTAAGAGAATGTAGGATTGATTAATGTATAGTGAAACTAGTTTTTGTAATCAAAGTTAAAGACCAGGCTTATAATAGTAGTCATTGAAAACCCAGCAAAACTTTGTACAGTAGAACAGACACCTTTCTTCTTGGATATAACAAAAATCTGGCCACACAACACAGTTTGAAGACAGGACTGAAGATGGAAATGAGTTCCAAGAGGTTGAAATCTTGGGCTCTAAAATCAGAAGGCCCTGATTCAGCTCCTGGTTTTGTCGCTAACACATATGTGACTTTCCGCAAGATAATTAACCTGTTTGTTGCCTAAATTTCTTTATGAAATGGGGATGGTGGTAATAGCACTTTGTGAGGATTAATTATATGATATATGCAGTATTCTTAGCATAATGCCTGGCACTTAGCTGGGATTCAAGATACTAGTTATTGGCTGCTAAAGTTTGTAGCGGCTACTGCTGTGCACCTGATTATAATGTTTTCTGAAACACTTGAACTCTGGTTACTGACTGGAATCTAGCTAGATCTGAAAGAATTCTGCATTCAGATTACCTAGGCAATGATGTGGGTGTTTCCTTTCTTAAGATTCTTATAGGTTTGTTTGTGTCTAAAGAACTTGGATTGGAAACCAGTTAATAATCTAATTGTGGACACTGATGATTCATACTGTGTTAATGGATTTTTTTGACAGATAAGGACTCACAATTCCAGATAATTAAACAAGCTAGAACCACAGTTGGAAAAGATGGTGATTGTTATAATCAAAGTAAGTGGCATCCTAGTTTGAGCTAAATAATGAGTCAAACTATTTTTCTCCCACAAGCACATTACTAATTTTTAAGAAAAATATTGTGGAAACAATTGCATGGGAAAGGTTAAGTTTTACTTTTAACATTAGACTACCGTGCTTGGTGTCACTTTATTTGTTATATATTTTCTGCTCCAATACACAAGTCTCACTAGGGACACTGTCTTAGCTGGGGTTTCCTGCTCTGGAATTTCCTAATAGATGAGATTGCCTTGTAGATAATTCTTTAAATTATGATTATTTTGTAAATAAATCCCATTTAGTGAGACTGTTTTACCCTAGGTTTCCTCTCTTGAGGATTAGCCCTTTTTAACTGTAAGAATATTGAAATGCAGTAAAAAAGGAAAGGCTTAGGCTAAAAGAGATTAGTTTCCACAGCTGCCCCTCAGTGTAAAGCACAAACACAGAGTGTGTGGTACAGTTTCAGAGGGTTTGTGGATCCTTTCGTGCCCAGTTTTGGAGCTGGGTTAAGAGTTTCTACCTGGGACTTAGTTCAGTAGAGACTAGGTTAGAATTTTTAAGTGTGATCTTTTAGGAAATTGAAAGAAAACTTAATCCATTAGAAACATAGAAGGTAAACGAGTAAATAGATTTCATAGATTTTTGAACCTAGATAAACATCTAAGCTAAGCTTGACCGGCTCCTTTTACAAGGATTTGAGTTGTCCTTTGACCCTTCTGAAGGAGCTTTCCCCGGACGTCTTACCTTTTTCCCTCACCCCTCTTTTTGGCCGAATCACATTCACCAGCCCGCTGTTACGATTTTTCTCCCTTGTTGAAGTCCAGGGTCTTAGCCCATTTCTCTAAGTGAATATCTGGGCTTGGTTCCCCCCCACATTGCACGGTGGCTTTGAAAGGAGGAAGTCCTTACCCCTTGGTCTACATTATGTTGGTTCCTTACAACAGCCAGACACATGTGCCTTGCATTTCCTGTTTTGAAGCTCTTGTTTTTATGTGCTTTTGTGCTAAATTCCAGGGGTTTTGTTTTGGTTTTTTGGTTTTTTAACCCTCACCCAGCCTGTAACCAGGGTATGTTCCCTTAGCCAGAACCGAACCCAGGACCACTTAGTCCCTAGGCCGCTCTAACCGCTGAGCAGGCCAGCCCAGGCTAAACTCTTGGTTTTTCTCCCAGGGAGACGTTTGACTTCCTCTTGAAGAGGTTACTGAGCTGTGATCAGTGAAGCTTTTTTTGGTCCCCTATTGTTGGTTCTACCCATTGCCCCTGTTTAGTTAACCAATTAAAAAGTGAGAGGATTTTGTTTTTTTGGAGGGGTTACTGTTAAAGGATTTTATTTGACCTTACCTAGTTAGCTAGATTTACTGAATTTATATTAGAGTGTAAAGAGAACTTGGAAATCATCTAATCTGGGGTGTGCTTTTTGCCGAAAAGGAAACAAACCCTGACTGACAGATGATAAGGTTCTGGTGTGTTTGTTCTAAAGGTACTTAATACTTTTAAAAGATTTTTTTCGAAGCCCTCTTAGATGTTTTATTACTCCACTACAAACTTGTGATAGGCTGGACGAGCATTTTCCCCTTCACGGTAGGTGCAGAAGTAGAGGTGCATATAAGAGAATAAACAGTCCTTTGCTAGGTAATAGCAAAGTTGATCGAGAGCAAGTTCTGAATTTTGGCACAAACCCTGCACTGAGTTATTCTGCATTCTGTTAGAAACTCTACATTTAGCTGTGTTTGTGGATTCTAGGTGCTTGCTCACATATCTTCCTTATTTATTATGTCTGTCGTGGTTGAGTAGGAGAATATCATGAGCTACAAATCTGTACCTAATGCTACTGTTTATACTGTTCATTGTTTATTCTGCTTTGGGTAAGCCTATTTTAAAGAAAGAAACTGGCTGCTTGGCCTTGTACAAATGGCAACTTTTCTGAGTTTTTGCTTTCTTATCTGTAATATATAACTATCTTCTGGAGTGTTTAGAGCAGTAAAAATAGTGAATGCTAAACTAGCCTGAACTAATAATTGGTAGCTGTTATTGTCTAAGCAGTTTAATTTCTAAGCAAATTAATGTATAGAAAGCAATATTAAGATACTGATATGGGTGAGAATTACATATATGAGTAATTTTTTAGAACATTTTCTAATGTTCTGAGTTTTTTATTTATATAACAGTAATAGGCAGATTTTGATTTTGAATTTTTGCACTGACTTAAATTAAGATTTAACTGTTAAGAAATATTTTTATATGATCTGTAACCCTCTTTAAAACTATTTTCCATCTTGTGTAGAGTTCTGCATTTTCTCAGCTGAGATTATTTTTTGCTTACTTATGTCTTAGACATTTTTCTCCAGGACAGAAATCTCTTTAATATCTTATTTTTAATGTATTTACTTTGAAGGAAGACGACTAACATGAACAATTTTCCATTTTTCCATGTAATTTATATATTTTTTTATCCACTGAATTATAAGTCTTTTCGATGAGGTTATATTATGTTTTAATTTTATCAGTCTTATTAGGTCTTAATTCATTAATCTTTGTGAAAGCTTAATAACTGTTAGATCCACTTATATATTTTCAGATATAGTTACTTTGGTTAATTTTATAACCAAGATATTAATTTCAATCATAAACAATCATTTTATATTTAATGGTTTATCTTTTTCCTTCAGTATTAAAGATTCAAATTGCGATACTTCAGTTTCATGACATATACAGTTGACCCTTGAACAACATGGGTTTGAACTGCACTGGTCCACTTATACGTGGATTTTTTCCAATAAATACAGTTGGCCCTCTGTATTTGTGGGTTTCACATCTGCGGGTTTGGTATCTGAGGAGGATACCAAAACGGTATTTTTGATCCATGGTTGGGAATCCAGGGATGTGGAATGCTGACTGTGCATTGTTCTACATCATTTTATATAAGGACTTGAGCACCCACAGATTTTGGTATCTGTGGAGTTTCCTAGAATCAACCCCCTGCGATACCGAGAGCTGACTGTAAAGTTTTTAGGGAGTGAAATTATACGAGGATTTTGACTGCATGGGAAAGAGGCAGGTCAGCGCCTCTGTCGCTTTGTTCAAGGGTCAACTATATTTGAGTCATGGCCCTAATTTGAAGATCAGGGTACTATGGCTAACGAACTGTAAAGAGACAGGATTAGAGGGGTTCTAGAGTTAATCTGTTCCCACTTGTGAGACTTCGGCAAGTCATTTTGCTTCTGTGGGCTTTTTTTTCTTTATCTCTAATGTTAAGAAATTGACTCTGTATGAATTCTCCCTAAAATTCAAAATATGTATCTCAGAAACAGTGTACCTCTTGTTAATACTTAATACTGTATCTCATACGTTTAAGATGCCCTATGGTGGCACAAGTGACAAGGAAGAATTGAGAATTAGTTATTTAAAAGTAGATTAGAGTGTTAGGTCAGGGTGACGAAGTTTCTGGAGATGGTTAGAAGTGATGGTTGCACAACAGTGTGAATATACTAATACCAATGAACTATATACTTAAAGATGGTTAAAATGGTAAATTTTATGTTATGTATGTTTTACCACAATTAAAAACTACTATACAAAAATGTAGATAGAAGGTCACAGAATTGATATGATTACAGCACATTGAGATGTACTCTAAATCATAGAAACTTGTGTTTGAAAATTTTCATTTTATGGAAATGTAAGCATATTTAAGTGTGTTTACCCTTTTTTTTTGTCAGAAATATCTATGTTCTGAATGACTCGAATGCAGTTTGTTGTTTAACTTTTCCTGTACTTTTTCTTTTTCAGTAATTGGGGTGAGTATAAAGAGGAATTAGGAACCTGAATGTACTCCTTATTTAAAGATATGCAGTATCCTTTTTGCAAATGATATCCTTTTAAAAGTATCATTCAAATTTCTAAACTTTATCTTAGTTACTGTCACAATATTACAATCTTGATTTGGAATTTTAGTTGAATTTCAAGGAATTTAGGTAATACATACAGGAATTTAAGATGAATAAAGAAAACTCCAGTATATTTCAGGGAGGAAATTATATTTCTTTGTTTGAAAATAACAGACAAAGGTTTACGTGGCACTTGTTCATAACACAGTCATGCACTGCGTAATGATGTTTTGGTATGCAATGAGCTGCATAGATGATGGTGATCCATAAGATTATAATGGATCATAAGCAAAAGTTTGTGATGTTGAAAGAAAAGGCTGGATCCAACTAGGATGTTGAATTTACTGTTAGTGCTGGGTGGTTTAAATAGACAAGGGTGCTCAGCATGTTGTCTACCTGCCCTGCACCCTCCCTCTGGCTGGGGCCTGGAGTTGGTGAAGGAGTGAGGGGAGCGGGCTGGGGAGGGGAGCAATCCAGGAGCTCTCTGCCCCACCCCTGCACACATGCACTCACACTCCAGCACACACTCACTTCCCTTCCTTCTTGTGGTTTCTCTTTGTGTCTCTTTCCCCCCAGTTCCATTTCTAACCCCCTCTCAGTCTCTCTCACTTTTTCTGTCTCCCTTTTTCCCTCCTCTCTCCTCCCCCTTTTATTTTCATCTCAAGCTTTATCTGTGTCTCTTTTGAGCTCTACTTCTGCTCTCCCTTTTCTCACCCCTTCTGTTTCTCCCTTCTTCCCTCCCACCTCCTTATATCTACTCTCTCTTTCATGGTGCCTCTCTCCACAGCCCTCCCCTGTCCCCCCAAGCCAGCGCTCACACACACATACTTAATTTTTTATACAGTATTTTTACTCTACATTTTAAGGTTTAACTATATTTAGATACATAAATACTTACCATTGAGTTACAATTGTCTGCAGTATTTAGTATAGTAATAACATGCTCTGCAGGCCTGTAGCCTAGGAGCAATAGGCTGTACCACAAAGCCTAGGTGTGTAGAGGATATACCATATAGGTTTGTGTAAGTGTACTGTGTGATAGTCCCACAGTGACAAAATCGCCTAACAATGCATGTCTCAGAACATATCCCCCTCATTAAGTGGCGCATGACTGAACATCAGTGTTTTCTAATTCTAATTTTTCTCCCAGATTTTAATAGCCTATATTCAAAGGAATTAGGTTTATCAAAGCTAACTCATTTTTATATTACAAAATTAAATGTTTTAACATCTGGCTGCACAAAAGGGCTTTTCCTGGTGTCTGTCCGAAGTGGAGTGAAGTTGACTGACTTGAAAGGGACTCTTCCTCACTAATTCAAAATCCTTTGACTTGTACAAATGGCCATCTATAGCAGTTAAACTACAGACTCAGATTCATTGGAACTATCCTCTTAATTTGTAGACAAATGTAAAGCAATCTTGTGTGTGTGTGTGTTGCAATGCTTAGTTCATAGTATGCTTTTGTTTGATTTATTTTTGTGTGTCTTAGGAATGTCAACAAAGTTATTATCAAATATAAGTATCTGGGAAGAGCTACTGATTTTACATTGTTCTATAAACCAGAGTTATTACTGTAGGGTAACCTAGTAAATATTAATAGGATGTATTTAGTAGCTCATGTTCTTTGCATTAGTAAATAATGAGGTCTGGGACTATCATTTTAAATTGCTTTATTTACAGTTACAATAATTTTTTTATTTCTTTGAGAAAATTTGAATCTCAAAACAAAAATTTTCTTCAGTGTTTAATACATCATATCAAGGTATTGTATTTACTTTTTTTCATTAATGAGCAGATTTTAGAAAGTTCTGTAACTGTTGTGGGGGCACTGCTGTTAACTTTTTTCAGTTAACTTGGTTAAGCCAATATGCTTCCTCTTCAAAAAATTAAAACAGGTTATTCTCAATGTAATCTGTCTTTCTCTGGTCTGAGAAAGTGTGGGATTTCTGCTACGTAATTGTTTTTCGTCCGTAGCTCTGAGTCAGTGTACAAATGGGCTATATTTTGAATATGGAACCCAGCTAGCTTGATGTCTCATGTGAAAAGGACTTTTTTTTTAACACATTTTTCATATTTCCATAATTTATTTTCAAAGGAACTATAATGTGTATTACCTATTAAAAGTCCCCTCCACCGCAGCTTTTATGGGAAAAAGCATATAAAGAGAAAGGAAGTTAATATCTACTTCTATAATATGGGTAGCCTTTGATTGTTACCCAAAAGGTTTTCTTATGAATATTGTCTTATGATAATTACTGCCTGCCTTCATGGGATCTGTCTTTGCTGGAGAGAAGAGCGAATATCCACAGTATATCCTTTATGTGAATGTAGCATTCAGGATAGAGTCATTGTTGATCACTTTCACATAGATATTTTGTAATTTAGGGATTATTATGAAAAAAAACTGTGTTAATAACTGCATTACTATAGCACATGTTTATAGATAAGTGGTAGATCTTAATTCCACAATGCTTCATGTATTTTTATTCTTGTGGTTTTATTTTTACTTTAGGAATTTATTCTTCATTACCTGTTGAAGTGCCTCTGAATCACAAACGATTTGTTTGTGATCTGACCCAAGCCGATCGTCTTGCCCTCTATGATTTTGTAATTGAGGAGACAAAGAAAAAGCGCTCTGATTCTCAAGTTATCGAAAATGACAGTGATCTCTTTGTAGACTTGGCTGCAAAAGTCAATCAAGGTTTGAGATGACTATCATAGTTTTCTATTTCTTAATTGTCATTCCATTCTTCGAGTATTACGAAGATGATTTTTCAAGCCACTTTGAGTAGGAATAGGATGGTTTTGTATCATCTGGTATTCACATATAATAGATGTTTACTCAGTAATGAAATTTTGCTCTCTGATTTTTACATTAAGTATAGTTTCCTTCTGTGAAAATGTTACAGCTGTGATGTTACTTTAATGTATGCACCTAAACACTTACGTTCAACTGATGGCTAGAGAGAAGGAATGATATAAAACTTAGCCCATTTATATAATGTGGAATCTTTAGAATATTTTTGTGTGCTACATTGAAATGTGTTGAAATATGATTGTAGTGTTCTTCCTGCCAATTTATAAGAATTCAAATGTTTATAAGGATATATTTATTTTATTTTTTTGTTAGATAATAGTCGAAAAAGCCCAAAATCTTACCTTGAAATCCTGGCAGAAGTAAGGGATTATAAAAGAAGACGTCAGTCCTATAGAGCTAAGAATGTTCACATAACCAAGAAATCGTATACTGAGGTAAGTATCTTTAAGGTGTCGCACCTGGTTTGTAGTTGCTTCATCATTTGCAGACCCACCCCTTACCAAACAAAGGCTTTTTAGGGTACAAAAACTTTATATAAAGAGGTTGTACAGTCTTTAAAAAATACCTGCTTTAGAGAAAGTGGTAAGAGGATTTTAAATACACCTGGGCTTAAGTTTTCATTCTGCTGTTTATCATTGCTGTTTGACTTGGACAAGTTATTTGAGCTTTTTAAGAATCATTTTTAAAAATTTTGTCATAATACAGACTTTTCAGGGTTACAAGAATTGATTGAGATTATACATGTGGAAACAAATTGCTCAATAAATATCTGTGTTTTTTTTGCAGAAATTTTAGTGTTTTTATGTACTCTGCTAAATATTTGGGCTAAAGAAATGTCTTGGTATAAATTATATATAACTTATATAATTATATAATATATTATAAAATTATATAATTACATCACTCTCTTGATGTCTACCTAGATTTATTTTCAGATGTCATTTAGTGGGTAGAGTTGGTGAATTTTTTGGTACATGAATTTACCTTGCCCAGACTTGAAATAATTTCCTCATTGAATCCCTAATTATTTCCACATTATTTCTTTCTTTTCTCTATGATTTCAAAGACCTTCCACAATCTGGCCTCATTCTATCAAACATTTTCTTTTGCTTTAGTCAAGCATGTCTCTTAAACTATATCTGATTTACATAGCTTTATTCTTACCTCCATGTCCTAATACATGTTGTTTCCTCATTTGAAATGCTCATTTTGGTGTTTTAATTTTTCCCCATTATATAAGTTCCATTTGTACGTTATAATTTGACATCTGTGGACACTACAAAATGATCACCCCAAAAAGTCTAGTTACTATCGTCACCACACAATTGACCACTTTCTGTCTTTCACTTAACCTCCTTCCCCTCTGCAACCATCAAGATCTTCTGTCCATTTTTAAACTGGGTGGTTTGTTTTTTTTGTTTTTGAGTTGTGTGAGTTTTTAAATACATTTTGGATATTAACCTCTTAGCAGATATATAATTTGCAAATATTTTCTCCCATTCAGTAGGTTGCCTTCTCTTTTTAATGATGGTTTCCTTTGCTGTGCAGAAACTTTTTAGTTTGATGTAGTCCCATTTGTTTATTTTTGCTTTTGTTTCCCTTTTGTTTGGAGTGAGAGCCACAAAACCATTGCTAAGACCAATGTCAGGGGGCTTACTGCCTATGTTTTCTTCTAGGAATTTTATGGTTTCAGGTCTTATATTCAAGTTTTTAATCCATTTAGAGTGAATTTTTGTGTACGGTGTAAAATAATGGTCTAGTTTCATTCTTTTGCATGTGGCTGTCCAATTTTCCCAACATTTATTAAAGTGACTGTTCATTCTTTATTTTATGTTCTTGGCTTCTTTGTCATAAATTGTGCATATATAAATGGTTTATTTCTGGGCTCTCAATTCTGCCCCATTGGTCTGTGTGTCTATGTCTAAGTACCATTTACTATTTTACTTACTATAGTTTTGTAGTATAATTTGAAATCCGGGAGCATAGTACCCCCAGCTTTGTTTTTCTTATTGCTTTGGCTATTCAGGATCTTTGTAGTTCCATACAAACTTTAGAATTATTTGTACTAGTTCTATGAAATATGCCGTTGAAATTTTGATAGGGATTCCATTGAATCTGCAGATTGCTTTCGGTAGTGTTGACATTTTAATGATATTAATTCTTCAAATCCATTTATCGTGGTTCTTCAATTTCTTTCATTGGTGTCTTACTGTTTTCAGTGTACAGGTCTTTCACCTCCTTGGTTAAATTTATTCCTAAGTATTTTATTTTTGATGCAGTTGTAAATGGGATTGTTTTCTTAATTTATATTTTTGATAGTTTATTATCAGTGTGTAGAAATACCACAGATTTCTGTATGTTGATTCTGTATCCTGCAACTTGACTGAGTTCATTTACTAGTTATAACAGTTTTTTGCTGGAGTCTTTAGTGTTTTCTATATACAGTGGTACCTCGGTTTTCAAATGTAATCTGTTCTGGAAGACTGTTTGAGTTCTGAAACATTCGAAAACGAAAGGATCAACAGCCAACAGCTAGGCCTCAGGATCTTGCACTCAGGGGAAGCCGTGTGGCATGTTTGACTTCTGAGGTGTGTTCGAAAACCGAAGCATTTCTGTCTCAGTTTACTGCATTCGTAAACTGGAATGTTAGTCAATGGAGACGTTCTAAAACCGAGGTACCACTGTATATAGTATCATGTCATCTGCAAATAGTTTTACTTCTTTCTTTCTAATGGTATGCCTTTTATTTCTTGTCTAATTGCTATGACTAGGACTTCCAATACTATGTTGAATAAAAGGGGTGAGAGTTCACATCCTTGTCTTGTCCTGATCTTAGAGGAAAAGCTTTCAGCTTTTTATTATTGAGTATATTATATAAGTTTGTTATTAGGTTGAGATACTTTTGTCTGTAATACTTGGTTGAGAGTTTTTATCATAAATGAATGTTGAATTTTGTCAAATGCTTTTTCTGCATCTATCAAGATGATAATATGATTTTTATCCTTCATTTTGTTAATGTGGTGTATCCCATTGATTGGTTTATGCATGTTGAACCATCCTTGCGTACCAGGAATAAGTCTCACTGTATTGTGGTATGGGATTCTTTTAATGTATTGTTGAATTTGGTTTGCTAATATTTCATTGAGGATTTTTGCATTCATGTTCATCAAGGATGTTGGCCAGTACTTTTCTTTTTTTGTGGTGTCCTCTTCTGGTTTCGATGTAGGAAATGATGGCCTTGTAAAATGTGTTTGGAAGAGTTTCTTTTCAGTGTTTTAGAAGAGTTTGAGAGGGATAGATACTAAATTTTTGAATGTTTGAAAGAATTCATCAGTGAAACCATGTGGTCCTGGACTTTTACTTATTGGGAGGTTTTGGTTATTGATTCAACCTCCTTCCTAGTAACTGGTCTATTCCAGGGTTTCTTTTTCTTCATGATTTTGTCCTGGAAGATTGTATGTTTCTAGGAATTTATCAATTTCTTCTAGGTTGTCCAATTTGTTGGTATATAGTAGTTCGTAAGTAGTCTCTTATGATCCTTTGTATTTCTATGGTAAGTGTTGTAACAACTTCTCTTACATTTTGTATTTGAGCCCTTTTTTCTTGGTTAGTCTAGCTAAGGTTTTGTTGATCTTGTTTATCTTTTCAGATAACCAGTTTTTGGTTTCATTGATTTTTAAATTTTTTTGGTCTCTATTTTATTTATTTTTTCTCTGATCTTGTTTTCTTCTACTAACTTTGGGCTTGTTTCATCTTTTTTTTTTTTTTTAGGTTCTTTAGGTGTAAAGTTAGATAGTTTATTTGAGATTTTTCTTGTTTCTTGATTTAGGCCTGTCTTGTGAATTTTGCTCTTAGAACATTGCTTAGATTTTAATAAGTCATATTTCTGTTTTCATTTGTCTTTACCTATTTTTTTATTTCTCCTTTGACTTTTTTTGATGATCCATTGGTTTATTATCATGCTCTTTAATATCTAGGTTTTTGTAAGTTTTTCCATTTATCTTCTTGTAATTGATTTCCAAGTTTCATACCAGTGTGGTTGGAAAAGATGCTTGATATGATTTCAGTCTTGAATTTATTGAGGTTTTTTTGTGGCCCAACATGTGATCTATCCTGGAGACTGTTATGCACACTTGAGAAGAAAGTGTATTCTGCTTTTGTTTCCTTATTGGGTTTTTTGGGTCTAGATAATCTATCCATTGCTGTAAGTGGGGCGTTAGAGTCCCCTATTATTATTGTATTGCTTTCAGTTTCTTCCTTTAGGTCCATTAATATTTGCTTTATATATTTTGGTGTACTTATATTGGGTGTGTATATATTTATAAATGTTATATCCTCTTGCAAATTGTCCCCTTTATCATTTAGATAGTGCTCTTCTTTGTCTTATTACAATGTTAGTTTTAAAGTCTCTTTTATCTGTGTATAGAAACACCAGCTTTCTTTTTGTTTCTTTTTGCATGAAATATTTTTTGCATCCTTTCACATTCAGTCTGTGTGTGGCCTTCTGAAGCGAGTCTCTTCCAGGCAGCATATACATGGGTCTTATCTTATCCATTCACCCACTCTTGTTCTTTTGGTTGCTGAATTTATTCCATTTACATTTAAAGTAGTTATTAAACCAGGCCGGCATGGCTCAGTGGTTGAGTGTTTACCCATGAACCAGGAGATGAAAGTTTGATTCCCAGTCAGGGTACATGCCTGGTTTTTGGGCTTGATCCCCAGTAGGGGATATGCAGGAGGCAGCCTATTGATGATTCTCTCTCATCATTGATGTTTCTATCTCTCGCTCCTCCCTTCCTCTTTCTGAAATCAATAAAAACATATTTAAAAATAAAGTAAATATTGCTAAGTATGTATCTATTGCTATTTTGTTAAGTGTTTTCTGGCTGTTTTTGTATTTTTTCTGTTCCTTTCTGGCTTTCTTTAGTGTTATGTTTAGAGTCCTTTTTCATTTTCTTTTGTGTGCGTTGTTTTTTCTTTGTGGTTACCATGAGGGTCACATTGAACATCCTATAGTATACAGTAGTCTCTTTTAAGTTGATAGCAACTTGAACACATTCCAAAGCTTTGCATTTTTACTCCCCCCGCCCACGTTTATATTTCTGACAACACATTTTATATCATTATATGTTTTCCTTAATTAATTATTGTAGTTTTAGTTACTTTTACTTGTTTTGTCTTTTAACCTTGATATTTGCTTTATACATAATTGATCTGCTACCTTTATATATTTACCTAATCAAGTGATATTTTTACTTATGTATGTTTTTATATTAATTGGTGCCTTTTCTTTTTAGCTTAGAAAAGTTCCTGTAACATTTCTTATAAGGATGGTTTAGTGTGATGAACTCTCTAAGTTATTGCTTATCTGGAAAACTCTTGATTTCTCCTTCAAATGTTACCTTTCTGGGTAGAGAATTCTTGGTTGGAAATTTTTTCTTTCAGCACTTTGAATATGTTACGTCACTCCCTTCTGGCCTATAAAGTTTTTGCTGAAAAAAATCCACTGATAGCCTTATGGGGTTTGCCTTGATGCTCTTAAGATTTTCTCTTTATCCTCAAGTTTACCGTTTTAATTATAATATGTTTTGGTGTGGTTCTTATGGGGTTCATCTTTTTTTTTTAAATATATCTTTATTGATTTCAGAGAGAGGAAAGGAGAGGGAGAGAGAGAGAGAAACATCAATGATGAGAGAGTCATTGATCGAGCCCACAACCTGGGCATGTGCCCTGACCGGGACTCAAACCCCGATTGCCTGGATCCCAGGTCGACGCTAAACCGCTGAGCCACGCCCGGCCGGGCTGGGGTTCATCTTATTTGAACTCTCTGGGCTTCCTGGACTTGGGTATCTGTTTCCTTTCCAAGATTAGGGAAATTTTTTGCCATTTTTTCTTTAAATAACTTTTCTGGCCCTTTTTCTCTTCTCCTTTTGGGACCCTTATAATGTGAGTGTTATTCCACTTGATGCTGTCCCAGAGGTCTCCTAAAGTATCTTCACTTTTTTAAATTATTTTTTCATTTTGCTGCTCTGCCTGAGTGTGTTTCATTGCTTTCTCCTCCTCCTCACTGATTTTTCCTTCTACTTCATCCAGTTTGCTGTTGAAACCCTTTAGTGTATTTTCCAGTTCAGTTATAACTTCCACTTGGTACTTTTTTTATACTTTACATTTCTTAAAGTTCTCACTTTGTTCATCCAGTCAATGAGCAGTTTTATGACTATTACTTTGAACTCTTTATCAGGTAGATTGCTTATCTCTGTTTAATTAAGGTATTTTTCTGGGTGTGTTTTGTTCTTTCGTTTGAAACATATTTGTTTCCTCATTTTGCCCGACTCCCTGTGTTTGTCTATATATATTAGGCGAAATAGTCCTGAATGAGTGACCTTGTGTAGGAGATGATTTGTGGAACCCAGAGACACAATCTCCTCTTGCCACTAGAGCCAGGCACTTAAGGTGCATCCTTGTGTGGGCTGTGCTTACCCACAGCTTGTGGCAGGGCCAGCTGCAGTGAGATGGGTGGGTTGCAGGGTGCTCATCTGGCCTGACTGTGGTGCAGCTGCTGCGTGGGGAGGGTAGGGCTTGGTAAGCTTACCTGGCTGCTCATAGTGTTGTTGCTGCTTGGGGTAGGCAAGGCACCAGTGCTTGCCTGGCCTGGTAGTATCACGGGGTGGGAAGATCACTCTACCAGTGCTGGGAGGCTAGAGGAAGGGCACCAAATATGGCACAAACCAGTTTTGTTATCAGCAGGTTAGAATAAGATTGCAAACATGGTGCCAGCCAGCGCTTCTGTCCCTGGGGCAAGTCTTGGCAGGTTCTTGCCTCCCTGGCAGCCAATTTAAGTTTAGTAAGTGGGTCTCCCTCACTTATGGTCTAGGCTTTTTCAGGGTGTTGCTTTGGCTCTAGATCTCAGGTTGAGTGGGTCTGCACATGAGCCCTTTAAGAGCAGATTCTCCATTCCCTACAGTTCTGTGTTCCTGCTGAACATCATCCCCATTGTTTTTCAAAACCAGACATTTTGGGGGCTCGTTTTTCTGGTGCCACATCCAAGAGTTGGGGTGCCTAATGTGGGGCATAATCCCTTCAGTCTTTGAGGGGGAATTCATATTTTTGGGGGGTTTCTTCTGGTTGTAGGTAGGTCACCATGCTTGGAGTGGAGACTCAGGTGAGACCATGTCTCTGCCTCTCCTACCCATCTCTATGTATCTCTTTTATCTTTTGCTGTGGTGATACCGTTCCTCTAGCTCTCAGGTCCTTTTCAGGAGAAAATTAAATTTGTTTTATCCGTGGGAGGATGTGAGTTCAGGGTCTTCCTGTGCCTCTGTCCTGAACTAGAATCACTGTTTTAAATCTTGATATCCACTCTTTCCATGAGGTGGTAATTGACTCTGAGATGTACCCTGGCTTAATGCACTTATGCTCTGCACCACACAGCTTAGCACCTAATTTTTTGCTGTTCTTTTTGCAATTAAAGTACATATATGTGTTTTAGACTTATCTCTCCCACTAGAGGTCTGGGACCATGTTATACTACCTTAGTGATTTTTACAGTCCCTTAAATACTTGATTGTACATCATTTGTTTCTTCTCTAGTCTCATAACTTTGTGGTCAAGTTTGTGTTGCTGCTGGTGTTTTTTACAATTTTATGGTTAACTTTTTATTATGGAAATATTCAAACATGTCCTAAAGTGGATGGAATAGTCTAATGAACTCTTACGTACCATCACCCAGCTTCAGTAGTTACCAACATTTGATCTTGATTTATACTCCCATTTACTTCCTGTTTCCTCCACCCTGTTGGGTGGTAATTTTGGAAACAGATCCCAAATATCTTTCATCTGCAAATGCTTCAGTATTTACAGTTCGTTCAGTTATCTCTGGTCAGGGCTTTTTCAACATTTTATCCATTCCTGGCTTCGTTTATATCTTATATAATTTTTGTTTGCTCTGAACTAGAACTTGAACTTTAATTTCAGTAAAAATTTATTACATAGTGCAGTTACTATGCATAACATACTGCTGTGGGGTATGTAAAGATAAATGTATGTAGACCACACCCTTAAGGAGCTTATTCTAGTTTAAGAGGTAAAAAAGACCTTTCAAAATACAGATTATGGTAAGTGCTAAAATGAGGTGAGATCAGAGTGTCTGGGAGGAGGGAATCAGTTTTTTAAAAGGAAAGATTGGTGTAGGCTTCATAGAGAAGATAGCATTTGAGAGAAGGGAGAAGCAGAGAGAGGGGTAAATGAATGTCTGCTTATTAGCTCTTTCTGTGTGGCGGCTCTGTGGAAACCACGTCCAGTGACATTTGGCTTCACAGAGCTCACAGAGCTACTACTCAGGGAGTTATGTAGGGAAGTGCTAGAGCTGGAATTGGAATTCAGGTACGCGTGACTCGTCGCTGCCTTAGGTAGACTCTCACCCGTCCTAGATTTTCCGCAAGAGGCTCTAGTGGAGGGGGGGAAATGGCGGGTAAGGATTTTCCAGGAGGAAGGACTACTGTTCCTAAAAATAAAGTGTAGGAGTTTTCCAGAGACCCATTAGTAATCCAGGGTGGCTAGAACTTAGGGATTTTGAAAGAGTATCCCATAGGAAAGAAGGCTGGCTTCCACTATGTGGTACAGTAAAGTTGGGGAAGGCTTAAGGGGCTCTATTAAGGAGTTCGGACATTGTTCCATTTTACTTCAGGAGCCGTTGAAAATTTCTTTCAGGTGGGGAGAAAAGCAGTCAGACCTGAACCGTAGTGTGTGTCTCTGACGTTGCCCCTGGTTTCCCATACCTTTCTTCCTAAAGCTTTCCTAGTTAGGCATGTGGGAACCAACTGTAACCTTCTATTTAAGTTTCACGATACAATAGATAAATAGGAAGGAGAAAACTTTTAAATGGTTCTTAGGTAAGTGATTCGTAGTCTCACTGGGAAAGTATCTGTGAAGTAACTATAATGTTTCATGTTTTGTCTGTCATCTTAATTATAAGGTTCTTTAAAAAGAGTTTTATTTGTAAATAATCTTGTATGTACAAATAAATTGCAAAATTGAAAATAGTTTAAAGAACTGTGTTCTTTGTACAGATTACTTACTGTTAACATTCTGCTCCATTTGCTTGTCATGTGTATTCTCTTTATCATTACATTTGTTGTTCTTTCTGTCTCTGTCTGTACATTAATTTTTTTCTGAACTGTTTAAGGGTTACATACATCATGATCCTTTATCCCTAAAAACTATTTCCTAAGCATAGGGATATCTTCTTACATAGTCATAGTATAGTTATCAACTTTAGCAAATTTAACATTGGTATACTTTCATCTACCATTCGTATTCCAATTTGACTATTGCCTTTTTTAATGTTTTCTAAACAGCACCATCCCACAGTTCACTGTGTCTTTGCTTTTTATAAATATTTGATTGTCAGCAGTTTTTTTCTAGCATTATAGTCTTAATTTTTTGAACAGCTTTCTCATCTGGAATTCTGTGCTTAACTTTCCTAAGGTGATTCGGGATGTGATAAATGTGCACATGGAAGAACTCAGTAATCATTGGCAAGAAGAGCAGGAAAAAGCAGAGGATGCTGCTGAAAAGTATGCCATTGTGTTTTTCGGTGAAAATACTCTCTTTTTAAACTCTTACCTATAATTGTTTAACTAAATTTTAGCATTTCCAAGGCCATTAGTAGCACACTAGAATTCATTAGAATGCTTATTGTCATTGCTCAGGATTATTATACCAGAATTGTAGAACATGTTATAAAAACTAGGCTTCTTTGCCCTCTTATATGGAGCGTAAGATTATACATATTTATTTAGATACTGTATGTATCATTGGTTTGATACAGAATATTGGACTTTAGGCTGGTCCATGCTGAAGACCAGTGGATAAAGCTAACTGATAAATGTTCCTTCTATGTTTCAGGAATGAAGAAAGGCGATCAGCTTCAGTAGATTCACGGCAGTCTGGTGGAAGCTATTTGGATGCTGAGTGTTCACGGCATAGAAGGGACCGGAGTAGGAGCCCACATAAACGAAAAAGAAATAAAGATAAAGATAAAAATTGGGACTCAAGAAGAAGGAAAGAGAGGTAAGTCTAACACTGTATCATCCAGTGATTAATTGTTTACCTTTAAAAAGTAGACAGTTTCTTCTGCTATAGACCATGTTGAAAAAATAGATTGTGAGAATAAATTATGGTAAGGAGAGTAAATAATTGATGAAAATTCTTAATGTTTGTCCTGTTTCAGTTCAAATAACCACAGCTGTGGTGACATAGTGCTCTACATGCCTGATTGGATGTGGGTTTCCTGGTTTTATTATTTTCTAACTCAGGCGTATGAAAGTAACGTCTAGGTAGAAAGTTAACTCTGTTAGAAAGGTGTTTGCTTTTTGTCTGCTCCTGCCTCCAACTCTCCCTCTCCTTTTGTTCTTTCTTTGCTTATTCCTCAGTTATCAGGCGTATAGTGTCAGAGAGAAGATCGAAACTTTGATACCAGTTTTGCCTTTTTGAATGTCCCTGATGAAATTTCGATACCTGAGAGATATGAACTAATATTAAAATAATACATTTAAAGCAGTTGAGGTCTGTTCCTGCATTTCAGCCCCTTACTGGGCATCTGCCTAGATCTCCTATAACTGAACTTACCTTTTTCTCAGTCTGCTTCTCTTTCCCCAGGTTTTCTATCCTGGTTAATGAATGACTGTCATTTGTTCACCTAAGCCAGAAATCAAGGAGTCATGTTAGATATTCCTCTTTTATTCCTTACCATCTGGCCTTAATTGCTGTCAGTTCTGCCTGAAGATACCTCATACATACCTTCTCTTCCTCTGTCATTACTGCTATCCATCTGGGAAATGATGGTAGCTTTCCTAATAGTTCTACCTGTCTAGACGCTTGTCGCTTATGGATCCATTCCTACCCTACTGCCACAGTGAATTTTCACCTTTTAAAACTCTTCAGTGGCAGAATTCACATTCCTTAGAATGGCTCTCAAGATCTCCGGGATCAGGGCATCTGCCTACCTGTCCTTGTATTTTGCTACTACCCATCCATCCATGACATGCAGATAGCTAATGCTTTAACCAGCCCAAATTACTACAGTTCCTCATCTGCATTGTGCTACATCTATACCTTGCCACATCATGTTCTGCTGCCTAAATTTTTTTAAAGCCTGCTTGGTAAACTCATCTTTTTAGACCCAGCTTAGTCATACCCATGAAGCCTTTTTTCACTCACTGAAATAGAGCTAATCTTTTCTATTTTGTTACCTGTCTTCCTGGCACATACTTTTTATTGAATTTAATTATTACCCTACCAGGCTGTGAGCTCTTCAGGGGCAGCGGGCCCATGTCTTCTTTAGTATTCTGTGCACAGTGCTTGTCTCATAATGCGCTCTCAAATGATATCTTGTCTCTCCAGGACTTCTGGTGATCAGGAATTAATAAGGCTTATTGGTTTAACAATTTTGCTTATCTTAGTATCATTCAGTTCATGAGTTTAAAGCTAGCTATGATTTAGTCTTTCTCTTATAAAAATGAAATATTTGCTTAGTAATCCATTTTGATTAATATAGTGAATGACATTTTATAATAACTTTACACAATTTAATTTTTGATTAGCTATCGGACATCCTGCTCTTTAACTTCTTTCTGGTTTGTTAGTGCTTGTTCCACTTAAGTAAATTTTGACATGTCTGATCAATCCCTATTGACTTAAATACATTAGCCTCAAAATCTAAACATGAATACTTTTTCTTTTAGGGAGGATAAACTGAGTAGTAGCAGGAAATATTTCTCAGTAGCTAATCTTTGATACTCCCCCAGAGAGAGAATGAATTGTGGGCAGGTGAGGGAGGAGCCAGGAAAAGGACATCAGACAGTTTCTGAGTTTCTCCCCTGACTTTAATATTCTACTTGCTGTGAATTCTCTAATCATCAACCGTGTACGTATATTCAAAATTAAATTTAAAGTGGAACTCCAAAGTGCAGTTTTTAAAAACTATTTTGTTTATCCCCATCTCAGTTTATTCCCTTTGATTTAATGATGTAGTTTCTGTATTTACTCTTTAAAAATCACTTTTCAGTTCTAAGTCATTTTAATTTGTTCTGGTTTATATATGATGTAAGTATTTTACTGATGAATTATTATTTTAAAGCTCTTCTATTAAAATGTTCATCATTTATGACAGTTTTTTTTCTACCCCTTTCATTTCAGGGATGGGGAAAGACATCATAGTCATAAAAGAAGAAAACAAAAAGTATAAATGAAGTACTCATGCATATATTAATTATGGTGATGCCATGGTAACCAATATGCTGATATTTTCATAATTGCGTTGAGTAGGAGTATGTGTTTATATGACCTGTTCAGTGCTCTAGTCATTATTTTTCAGTAAGTGCTTATGTCTCAAGCCATGAGTACACTGTTATGCCCCATAACTCTGTTTTTTGTATACTTTAATAGATGGTTGCTTCCTATTACTCACCTTTTTTTTCTTTTTTGATAATTTATCAGAAAATTCTTTAATTAAAGTTAGTACTTAAATTATATAAATAATACGCGAATGCATTCTCACTGTAAAACTTAATCCTACAGAACACCACCCTCCCTGGGGCTGCCCTGTGGTGACTACTATTTACCACTGCACTGGTGAGTTGTGATAGGGAAAAGCAACCTAAATACCTGTCCGGAGGGAAAGGCCTGCCTAACTAAAATGCACTATAATAATATAATAGATTATTTATATCAGATTTAAAAGAAATAAACTTTATATTAATGTGGATAGATCTCGGATACATAATGTTAAGTGACAACAGCAAGTTGCAGAAAAAATATGTACAAGTTATATCTTTGTACAAAACCATACTATATGTTTTCAGTGGCTATTTATGTATGTAAATATATTTTTAAAGGTCAGAAGAGTCCATACCAAACTCACAACAGTGATTATTTGGGAGAGACAGTATAATTGGGAGAGATAAGGGGTGGCAGTGAGGATTGGGAGAGTAGTCAAAGGAAACTTTAGCTTTATCCATAATACATTAATTTTTAAAAAATAACATATTCATGGTTGTTGATTAAAGATTGTCATTTTCTTTTTTGTAAATGAACTCTTAAAAATATACTGTCATTTTGTTTTTTTGTAAATGAAGTTTGTTGAGGTATTGTGTACGTAAAATAAAATGCATCCATTTTAAGTGTATATTTCATTGAGTTTTTACCAACTTATATACCCTATGCAACTATCACCTCAATCAAGATAGAGAACATTTCCATCTCCCCAAAAAGTTCCCTTATACCCCTTTCCACAATCAGTTTCTCTACCCCCAGCTGTAAGCAACCAGAAATCCTCTTTTTGTTACTGTTGATGAGATATATTTTTCATAGAATTCATATAAATGGAATACTACAGCATGTACTCTGCCTTCTTCCGCTCCACTTATTTTTGAGATTAATCCACGTTGTTGTGTCAGTAGTCTATTCCTTTTTGTTGCTAGTAGGGTGTTCTGTCATATGGTAGATCATTCAGTGAAACTTGGGCATTAAGTGTTAAGCATCTCATGCCCCGGCCGGTTTGGCTCAGTGGTTGAGTTTCAGACCCCCGGACTGAAGGGTCCTGGGTTTGATTCTGGCCAAGGACAAGGACACATACCTTGGTTGCAGGCTCCACCCCAGTCAGGGCTTGAGTTGGAGGCAGCCAGTCGATGTTTCTCTCCTGCATCCATGTTGATCTCTCTCCCTCTCTCCCCCCGCCCTTCCACTCTCTCTGAAAAGCAATGGAAAAAATATCCTCGGTGAGGATTAAAATAAAATTTTTTTTAAATAAAAATAAATGTTAAGCTCCTCATATCTGAATATTGGAAAACTAACTTAAAGATTCCAAAGTAGGTTCCAGATAGAAATGAAACCTTAATTATTTCACTATGTAACTGACAAAGACAGAAAGGTTGGCTGGATTTAGATCAGATTGGCTGTTAGGTTTCAGGTATAGAAAACAATTCTCAAGATTTTTAAGTTGGAAACAGGTCACTTGCCAATATGAAGTCCTACTACTTGCCATTTTACTTAATTTCTAAATATCTAAAATCCAGATTTAAAAATCTTAAAAACAAGGACTTTGGAGTTACCATAATGGTGAGCTATATGAAATTGCAGCTTTTGTAAATGATTTGAATGATCAACAGTTTCATACAGTACAACTTAATCTATAATTTTATTTTTCATTATGGTTTTAATTATTTTACTAACTGGAAGAAACTAACGAGTAAAATTAAAAGGCATACTTGGGTGTTTTAGCAGAAGAGAAATAAATGGGAAGGGAGAGTGGAATGGTGGGATTATGGAAAAATAGGATAGTATGGAAAAAAAATGATCTAAAATGTAACCAGAGTTACGTTTAAAGTCCAAAATTTTAAGTATAGTAACTACTGCAGACTATCCAATAAGATGTGGAATTAGATTATAAGAGGTATTTGTTTGATCCTTGGACGTATTAATTTCCCATGCGTACCTGTTTGTGTTTTGGACTTATTTATCGATATAACCCCCATGCCTAGTATATAATAGTTGTTAATTTATTTTAAATTTTGACGAGAGCATTTGCAGACTCTTATCACCTAACATCTAATATTTTATTCATTTGTTGCCTGGCTTATTTCCTTTGGCATAGTGTTTTCAGGGTGCATCCATGTTGTAGCATGTGTCAAAATTTCTTTTTTAAAATTAAATATTTCATTGTATGTATATGTCATATTTTGTGTGTCAGTTCATCTGTGGATGAACAAGCGTTGCTTCTACTTTTTGTTCCTTCCACACTGGTGTGAACACGGGTGTAAAAAATTTGCTTGAACTCTGCATTCAGTTCTTATGAGTGCCTACCTAGAAGTGTAATTGTTGGGTCATAAGATAACTCAATGTTTAATTTTTGAGAAACCACCGTACTGTTTTCCACAGTGTTTGTATATTTTACATTCCCATCAGCAGTGCACCAGGGATCCAGTTTCTTTACATCCTTTGCAACACTTGTTATTTTCTGGTGTTATTTTGTTTTTTGATAATAGCTATCCTAATGGGTATAAAGTGCTACCTCATTGTGGTTTTTGATGAGCTCTTTATATTAAACTTACTTAATTCTCATAAAACACTCTGAGGTGTAAATATTATCACCACTTTAGAAATGAGGAAACTAAGGCTCATGAGTTAAGTAACTTGCTTTACTTCTCAAAGAAAGGGGTAGAGCTAGAATTCCAACCCAAGCAGTCTTGCTCCAGGGTTTACACTTTCAGTTTTTCCACTTGTATTATAATTATGTACTGTTTCTTATGTACTACTACTATCTCCAACTAGGTTGTAAACTTTTGAAAGTAAAATACATTTTGATTATCTTTGAATCCCCAGAGTGCTTAGTATAATTCTTGAAAGATGGGGGTGATAGATGTTTATGGATGAGAAAATTTAGGCATAGAGATGCTTAGTTATTTCACCAACAAACAAAACAACAAATACTGGAACTGGAGTCCCTGGTCTTGACCACAATATAAGCCACTTAATTACCTGTGAACCCGTTTTGGTGGATTCTGATCTTGTGGTAGTATCTGTCATTTCATAGCAGTCTCTTTAGGTCCACTAGAGTTCTCTGAACTCCTTTATAAATTAAAAACAACAACAATTTACTGCCTGATATTTTGTTAAGCTAAAACTGATTTCATAAACAAACCTGTATTATAACTTGATGCCATTTGGTTATGAACCAAAGTTCATTGCATTGATCAACTTTGTAAAGCAGGATTTTACCTGAAGACATGAAAGTACCTCACAGCACCTCCTAAAGTTAAGACTGCTGGACAATTAAATGCCAGATTCCTGGAGGAATCTCAACATTAGGATGCTGGAATCAGCTGAAGAAAAACTCAGATCTGCTTTATCTTCCTGTCTACTGCATCCCACCTGCTTATCCCAAGGAAGAGAGTTTGGGTGTGGTTTCAATCTGCCATTGGAAAACAATGCTTATTGAAGTTCAAGAGGAGCCATTTGTGAGCAAAAGAATTTAAGGGAACTTCTTAGATACTTAGACTGACATGGTCACTTAAATGTACATGTTAAGGCAGCTGCTGTGCAGAGCCCAGAGCACTGATTACATTCAATAAGAAACAGATTCCAAGATGGCAGCAGATTGAGTAGAAGCTACACTGACACTCTCTCAGGACCAAACGAATTACAACTAAAATAGAGAAAAACCATCTTGAATAATCAACTGCAACTGAAGACGAGCTAGAGAGCACCCGCATAACCAAGGACCTAAAGCGGAGGTGCAGACCTAAATCTCAGCTCAGAGACTGCTCACCAGCAACCTGACTCAAGGTGTGTATGCAAAGAGCTCATGAATGAAGGGAAGCTACCAGATGCCACCGAGTCTTAGAGGCACCAATCACAAGATGCCCATTATAATACGTATCACTAAGAAAGAAAAAGCATTGGATTAAAGATGGTGGCAGACTGAGTGGAAGCTACACTGACACTCCTGGGACCAAACTGGCATTACAAGTAAAATATAGAAAAACCATCCTGAATAATCAACTGCAACTGAAGATGAGCTGGAGAGCACCCTCATAACCAAGGAGGAAAAGTGGAGCCCACATAGACTGGGAGGAAGTGCAGAGGCACCAGAGGGCTGGCTGGGCTCCCACAGGCAGCAGCTGAAGGTCAAGAGGGATGCCTCAGCTGTGGAGTTTCCCACTGAGGACTCTGAGGCCTAAACCCCAGGCTGGGCTTCCCAGCCCAGAGCACCAGAGCTGAGAAAGGTGCCCACATAACATGTGGCTGTGAAAAGCAGCCGGGTTTCTGTCTGCCAGGGAGAGATGGCTGGAAATGCAAGCACCCTCTTAAAGAGCAAACACACAGAGTTTCATATGCAGCCACTCACCTTGGGCTTCAGCAGAGGGAGGGCAGAGTGGACTGGAGCTGTGTGAGGAGAACCTAGGGTTGTGGGATTTGGAGATTGAGATCAGAAGGTGACCATCTGGATTCCTGTGCCAAGTCATTCCCCCATACTACAGAGGGCATCTTTCTCAGGCAGACATTTTGCTGCTTTTGGCTAGGGGAGAAGCAATTGCCCCACCCTGCTGGAAAAGCTCTCACCTTCCCAGGGGAGATTCTACTGCCTGAGGCTCTTTAAGAGACTGTTAACGAGCTGTCCCACCCTGTGGAGTTTCTACAGCCTGAGGCTCATTAAGAGAATCAGATTAATCAGCCTGCAGCCAGAAGCAGACCTTGGAGTGCTTTGAGTCTTCCCGATCTGCTTCTGGACCCGGGCCCTGGAAAAGCAGACTTTGGTGTGCTTCTCGGTCCTGTCCAACTGCACCCAGCCCCAGCAGAGGAGACCTCAAGCTGAGGGTGGTTAACACTTCCAAACAGGGTACTCAGGGCCAATCACAAACTGCGTCTGATACTGGCCTGCACCAGAGACCCTCCAAAAATACTGAGTCCCAGCAGATCTACCTAATACATAGAAATAGACCCAAACAGGCAGCCAAAATGGCGAGACAAAAAAACAAGCCCCAAATGAAAGAACAAGAGAAGTCTCCAGAAAAAGAGCTAAATGAAATGGAGATAACAATCTATCAGATAAAGAGTTCAGAATACTGATTGTAAGGATGCTCAACAGCATGAAAAAATATATAGAAACTATGAAGGAAATTAAGAATGACATAGCAGAAATAAAGAATACATTGGAAGGAATAAACAGCAGGTTAGAGGAAGCTGAGGATCAGATCAGCAAATTAGAAGACAGGGTAGGAAAAAATCACTCCATCAGAGATCCAAAAATAAAAAACAATTAAAAAACAGGAGGGCAGTCTAAGGGAGCTGTGGGACAACGTGAAACATAACAATATTCACAGAAAGTAAGCAAGGGTTAGAGAACCTGTTTGAAGAAATAATGGCAGAGAACTTCCCTACCCTGATGAAGGAAAAAGTCACACAAGTTCAGGGGGCACAGAGAGTCCCAAGCAAGAAGAATCCAAAGAGGCCCACACCCAGACACATCATAATTAAAATCCCAAGAAATCAAGACCAAGAGAGAATCTTAAAGGCAGCTAGAGAAAAGCAATCT